AAAAAAAAAAAACTAAACCTCAGCTAACCAGGCCTGCAAAGCAATAGAGGTAAATCTGCCCAAGGGACTTGGAAATACTTTGAGCCTCAAAGGCAGTTTCAGAGTTTGTTTGTTTGTTTGACACAGGATCTTGCTCTGTCATCTGGGCTGGAATGCAGTGGCACAATAACAGCTCTCTGTAACCTAAACTCCCAGGTTTAAGTGATCGGCCTTAGTCTCTCAAGTAGGTGGGACTACTGGCGCCCACCACCACACCTGGCTAATTTTTCTTATTTTTTTGTATAGCTGGAGGTTTTACCGTGTTGCCCAGGCTGCTCTCAAACTCCTGGCCTCAAGTGATCTCACCACCTTAGCTTCCCAAAGCCATGGGATTATAAGCATGTGGCACTACATCCGGCCCAGTTCCAGAGTCTGTCCAGATGTTAGAAATGAGTTCGTGTCTCAGTTGTTTGATTATCTCCTAGTCATATTTGGAGTTGTACGTTTGGCCTAACTGCAGCCTAGAAAGGATTTTATCTTTATAGCTTGCTTTTCCTTGCTTTCCCTTCTACTTCTCTCTCGTAGCTGCTTTCCACTACCCCCCTTTTTTTCATTTATTTTTCTGGGCCTGTGTGTCCTTGGGCAGTCCGTTTTTTAGTTCCCCACAAACAGAAGCCTCATTTGGTCCAAGTGAGTTGAGGAGTTGCCCTGTTTGCGACAAGTTGCCCTGTTTTGTCTCCCCCAGGCTGGGCTGACCCTGGAGACACGCCTACAGATAGCCCTAGATGTGGTGGAGGGAATCCGCTTCCTGCACAGCCAGGGGCTGGTCCATCGTGATATCAAACTGAAAAATGTGCTGGTAAGTAAAAGCTGTTTCCCCAGGTGATACCCCACCTCTGTGGGCTGAGTGATCTTTTGGAAGGTACATGTAAGTGGGAATTTGGGACTAGGAGAAGTCCAGGGGGAAAGTAGTAAAGTTAGTAGCATTGTGATATGGATGGTATCTTGAACTTAAGGTGCAGGGAGCAGTTTCATTGTAGACTTAACTTATGCTACATAAGATTTTTCTCCTTACACTGTTTTGAAAAATTTTAAACTTATAAAAAGCTAAGAGTGTTACAGTGAAAACCCATATACCCTTCATCCCAATTCATGTTCTCTCTTTTCTCCTAATGTGCTTTTATGTGTGTTATTTCTCTCTATATACACATATGTGTACACACACATCATTTTTTACTAAACTATATGAAAGTAAGTTGCAGGCAACACTTTATTCCTAAATTCTTAAGCATGTATCTCCTAAGAAAAAGGACATACTTCTACATAATTAAAATGTTATTAACACACCGAAGAAATTTAACATTGATATATACTGTTACTCAGTATACAGTCTGTATTAACATTTTCCTATTGTCCTGAATATGTCCAGTTGCCCCAGATAGGGTCAGCCTGTTTGTTTAATCCAGGATCCAATCCAAGGATCATACAGTATATTTTGTTGTCATGTGTCTCTAGTCTCCATTAATCTTGAATAGTCTTTCTCCCTTATTTAGCATTTATGATATTGGTATTTTTGAGTAGTCTAGGTCTTATTACTGCTTGGGATTGTTTGATTAGAAATGTGGGATGAGGGCTAAGATGTGTAAAGTCACCTTAAAAGGTAAGATAGTAATGAACTCACCAGTCCTGTTATCTAGAGGTAAGATAGTAATGAACTCACTAGTCCTATTACCTAAATTATAAAATATCTTTTGACATACTCCTTGGAAAGGTATATTGGCATATCATTAAAGCATTTCTGACAACACTTAAATGATGTATAAAGGTGATAGCAGTTTGGGAAAAACTCCCTAAAATTGTCAGCTGAAAACTAAAAGTCTTTAGAAGAGGAAACTCTAGGGACTTCAGGAAAGTCTCCCCAGCTGACCAGAGGACCTCAACTTTCTTACTGCCCTGGGGTCAGGAGGGAAGTCAGGGACTAAAGTTCTTTCTCAGTGTTCTTCCTTGGACCTTCTCTACCTTATTCTTCCAGGATTAATTAGGATCCCTGTATGTGCCAAGCACCATGTTAAGCACTGGGTATGTAAAGATAAAAAAGGCAATCCCAGGTGGGATTATGGCTCAAGGAGTAGGGCACTGGCCCCATATACTGGAGGTGGGGGGTTCAAACCCGGTCTCAGCCAAAAGCTGCAACAAAACATCTTAATTTTGGCTCAGCGCCTGTGGCTCAAGCAGCTAAGGCACCAGCCACATATACCTGAGCTGGCAGGTTTGAATCCACCCCAAGTCTGCCAAACATCAGTGACAGCTGCAACCAAAAAATAGCTGGGTGTCGCGACCCGTCGGGCTCCTGTGGCCCTGGTCTCGGTTAGCGCAGGAAGGAACCAGGCAAGAACCGGATTAGAAGTACAAGCTTGTGGAAGGTGGGCTAGCCCTTACTTTCTGGGTAGTGCCGAGCAACCTCCTCACCAGCCTTTTATGGAAAGGGAATGACACAGGTGAGGGGAGTAATTAACAATGACTAGGTGCTGAGGGCACGGGCTCCTCCCACAAGGAACTCCTGTGGAGGAATGGCCCGAGGTCCACGCCTCAGCTGCAGATCATCTTGCTGGGATGTTGGCGTCTCCTACAGCCGGGCATCATGGTGGGTACCTATAGTCCCAGCTACTTGGGAGGCAGAGGCAGGAAAGTCACTTGAGCCCAGGAGTTGGAGGTTGCTGTGAGCTGTGATGCTATAGCACTCGACACAGGGTGACAGCTTGAGGCTCTGTCTCAAAAAAAACCCCAAAAACAAAACACCTTAATTTTGGGCGGTACCTATGGCTCGAGGAGTAGGGCGCCTACCTCCATATACCAGGGGTGGCAGGTTCAACTCTGGCCCTGGCCAAAAAGAAAAAAAGCAAAAGGCAGTCCCTGCTATGAGGTGGTTCTACAGTATTGGGAAGAAAATAGTACAAGTTGAGTATCCCTAATGCAAAACCCCAGAATTCAAGATGCTCCAAAATCTGAAACATCATCATCATCATCATCATCATCATCATCATCATCATCATTATTTTAAGAGACTGGGTCTCACTCTGTTGACCCAGGCTGGAGTGCAGTGGGACAATCATAACTCATTGCAGCCTCTAGTTCCTGTGCTAAGCAATCCTTCTTCCTCAGCCTCCCAAGTAGGTGGGACTACAGATGTATACCACCACACCTGGCTAATTTTTTTTTTTTTGGAGACAGAGTCTCACTGGGTAGAGTGCCATGGCATCAGATCTCACAGCAACCTCAAACTCTTGGGCTTAAGTTATTCTCTTGCCCCAGCCTCCCAGGTAGCTGGCACTACAGGCACCTGCCACAGTGCCTGACTATTTTTTGGTTATAGTTGTCATTGTTGTTTGGCAGGCCCGGGCTGGGTTTGAACCTGCCAATTCTGGTGTATGTGGCTGGTGCCCTAGCCGCTGAGCTACAGGCACCAAGCCACATCTGGCTAATTATTTCAGTTTTTTGGAGACAGAGGCTCACTTTGTCTCCCTTCATAATGTGCCATGCTGTCACCCTGTGTCGAGTGCTATAGCATCACAGCTCACAGCAACCTCCAACTCCTGGGCTCAAGTGACTTTCCTGCCTCTGCCTCCCAAGTAGCTCACAGCAACCTCAGACTTTTGGGCTAAGTGATTCTCTTGCTTCAGCTTCCCAAGTAGCTGAGACTACAGGTGCCTGCTACAACACCCAGCTATTTTTAGAGATGGGTGTCTCGCTCTGGCTCAGGCTACAGGCAATCCACCCACCTCAGCCTCCCAGAGTAGTAGGATTAGCGGCATGATTATAGGCCCTACACACACTTTTTATAAGATAAAAAGTACTCTTTCTACTTAATAAAAAGAAAAATATTTTTGTATGGTTATACAGTGTATTTGTTTTAAGCTAAGTGCTATTACAAAAGAGCCAAACAGTGTTAAGAAATTAAAAAGTTTATAAAATAAAGTTACAGTAAATTAAGGTTATTATTGGCTCGGCGCCTGTGGCTCAAGCGGCTAAGGTGCCAGCCACATACACCTAAGGTGGCGGGTTCGAATCCCCAGTCCAGGCCCACCAAACAACGATGGCTGCAACCAAAAAAAAAAATGGCCAGGCGTTGTGGCGGGCGCCTGTAGTCCCAGCTACTTGGGAGGCTGAGGCAGGAGACTTGCTTGAGCCCAGGAGTTGGAGGTTGCTGTGAGCATGATGCCATGGCACTCTACACAGGGGGATAGCTTGAGGCTCCGTCTCAAAAAAAAAAAAAAAATTAAGGTTACTATTGAAGAAAGATAGTAATTTGTTTTTAATTGTTGGGGATTCATTGAGGGTATAAGAAACCCAGTTACACCTATTGCATTTGTTAGGTAAAGTCCCTTATTTTTTAATTTTGAGACAGAGTCTCACTATGTCACCCTCAGTGCCCTAGCATCACAGCTCACAGCAACCTCAGACTCTTGGGTTTAAGCGATTCTCTTGCCTTAGCCTCCCAAGTAGCTGGGACTACAGGCGCCTGCTACAATGCCCAGCTGTTTTTTTGTTGCAGTTGTCATTGTTGTTTAGCAGTCTTGGGCCAGGTTCAAACCTGCCAGCTCTGGTGTATGTGGCCAGTCCCCTAACAGCTGAGCTTTCTTAGGACACTGAGCCTAAGAAAGATAATAATTTTTAATAAATTTACTGTAGCCTAAGTGTAGTGTTTATATATAAACTCTACAGTAGTGTATGAGTACAGTAACATCCTAGACCTTCACATTCACTTACTACTCACTGACTTAACCTAAACAACTTCTAGTCTTACAAGGTCCCCTCATGGTAAGTGCCCTTTACAGGTGTATTATTTTTATCTTTTATACCGTATTTTTACTGTACCTTTTTTTTTCCCCCCCGCCTGGCCTGGGTTTGAACCTGCCACCTCTGGCATATGGGGCCAGCACCCTACTCCTTTGAGCCACAGGCGCTGCCCTTACTGTACCTTTTCTATGCTTAAGTACACTTAGATATACAAATACTTAGCCATTGTGCTATAGCTGCCTATGGTATTCAGTACAGTAACATGCTGTACAGGTTTATAGCTTTGGAGCAATAGGCTGTACTATATAGGCTAGGTGCGTAGTAGGCTGTACCACCTATGTTTGTTTAAGTATGCACTGATTTTTGCACAAGGACAAAATCACCTAATGACTCATTTCTCAGTACCAACCCCCATCATTGAGTAGTGTGTGACTATACTACTTTGAGGTACCTACATGAGCTTGGACAGTGCTGTGTGCAGGATCAGAGACAGGGTGACTCTCGCCTCACTTTATTGTCAGCTGGACAAGCAGAACCGTGCCAAGATCACTGACTTAGGATTCTGCAAGCCAGAGGCCATGATGTCAGGCAGCATTGTGGGGACGCCCATCCATATGGCCCCTGAACTTTTCACAGGTAAGGCTGGAGGGATGGGAGTGGGTTTGGGCAGGGCTCATTACTGTAACCCTGAGTGCTACCCCTTAGGCTAGGTGGTATCCACCCGTATGTAACACAAGCAGGTTTGGCACAGGGTAGAAACCAGAATAGGGGAAACCTAAGATAAGTAGGGGGAAAAGTAAAGAGATAAAAGAATGAAAAAAAATGTCCAAATGGCACCACCACCTTTTCTTTTGGATGTCTCTCTATTTGTGCTGTAGTCAATCATTTAATCATGAAATATTGATTGAAGAACTATATAAGAGTTGTCCTCATTAAAAGAACTTAAAATTGACATAGAGATATATTAAGAGAAGTAAAATAATTAGGAAGCTGTATAACACAGCTTGTGATGAAGTCCTAATTTAAGTGTGATGTAATATACTGTTGGTGTTCAGAAAAAGGATAAATGAAGGAGGAAATGCTTGATGGTTTTATGGTAGAAGTGAGATCGTGGGTAGAACTTGAATCAGATCTGGTAGAGAACTCATTAAGTATATGCTTTGAGGTGTGGATATTTTCTTGTATTTTTTTTTATTTAATTTTCACAATTATGTGATATTGATGGATTTGTATGTCCATTTCATGGATAAAGTTGAGTAAACTTGAGACCAGATTCATGAAGAAAAGCACCCCAAAACACTGAGCTAAAAGGTAATGGAGCTGGCTTTGGAATCTAGGTCTCTCTGTCTCCAGAGTCTAACCATGTGTCATGAAAGGCAGAAAATTCTAGAGGCTGAAGAAAGGGAAATAATGAGGAGTATCACAGAATAGAAAAATTAGCATGGCCGGAAAGAAAGCCTTTTGGAGACTAGTAATAAATAAGGCTGGAGATAAAATACATTGAGCTTGAAATTCCCACAGAGGGCT